GTGGAAAAGCCGGCCATTGCCAGGACTCCAAAAGAATTTTTATAAAAGGTCTCGGGGCCACTGCCGCTTTAATTTTCGAGGAGGATTATAGGGATGTTCATAGCTGGATAGAGATTGAACTAGCGGGTTAGGGTGATGAATAAGATTCTGGTGGAAATTTGTAAATCTGGATGGGACAACGTCAATGACAAATATGAACATATAAAATTGTAAATTAAAATTGAAAAGAAGGATGGTTGGGAAGACCACTCCAAAAAAAAATAAATAAATAAAGAAAAATAGTAAAAATAATTATATTTATTTTTAGCATCGAAATTAAATTTAGGATTTTTTTTATTTTATAGTTTTTATTGTAATGTGGTAATAAAAGTATATTCCAATGGCATATAACCATTGGAACTAGCTTGGCCCGTTTAGAGGCTAAAGATGGCCTCCGTTGAAAAGAAATCCGGTTTCCTTGAAGCGATCCATTCATCAAGCCATCTTTTTATATCGTCATAAAGTGCTCCTCCGACAGAGTACTGTCTGCCTGGACCGGAACTAATGGTAATTTCCAGGAGTGATATCCAAGCGATGCGAAGAGTCCTCAAAAAATTTCCTTTTCATCCTTCACCTTTTATTACCGGATGTTATGAATGTGATTTTACTTTGTCATGGATTTAAATCAAGTCGTCTTCCCATTTCTACTTTTCTGCAGGTAGAGGAGAATTTAGGTTTGAAAGCACTAAATTAAACTCGTAGCAGTCACCAGAAACGTCTGCAGCATTTGGTTACAGCAGCTCATGATGTATTATCACACCGCATAGCGGAACGCAACCGTATTGGCTGGCTAATTCTCGGATCTGGCCTGGAATATATGCTTCCGAATATTATCTTTTAGCGTTTAGGTTATCATTGCTGCGTGTCACCTCCGCCCAATGCACTCTGGGGGATAAAAGAATATTTAAATGGATTTTATTTACTTTAGCGTAAAATTAGGGGAGGAATTACTGGAAATCCAAAGATCCAAAAAGAATGATGAAACTTGTCAGACATTTTATATTATCCTCTCCATAATAACCTGTAAAAAATCCCAAAGTTTCCTGTGTCGAGTTATGTTGTCCGTTGTACAGACCCTTTTTTATCAAATTATTAATCATCTCTCTAAAACATGGTGAATGCCATCATCTGAAGTTTTCTCATTAAATTAATAACTTTAATTATATGCTAAAAACTCATAAATATCCATTTTTTTTCCACTTGGTGGTTTACAAATATATTGTGACGTTTGGCCGATAAAATCTTGTTATTTTGACATGTTGAGGGTCACGCCAAATTATCTTACGTTGATTTGAAAAGCAAATGGGTGAGTTTTTAGTACCTAATTAAATAGACGAAGTTTATCGATCTCTTGATATCTTGAAAACGCCCCTTCTGAATCTTATGATTCAAGTGGAAAGCAAAATTATTTTTTAATGCCTAACTAAATTAATTAATTTAATGAGAAAACTTCCTATTTCTGAAAATTTTAGAAAATATAAACGTTGTAGATTACGATGAGATGAAGCTATTCAAAAAGTTTTAGGCGGATGTTAATAATTTGATAAAAAAGGGGTCTGTACCACGGACTATTGGGCTTATGGGAGGACAGAAAACTGATATAATTTTTGTTTTTTTTAGAATATTTCAAAAACTATGTGGTTTATGGCAAATGTTGTTCAGTAGACTATTAAAGCGCTTTAAAATTTCTGTAAACATTAGACTGTACATTTTATTGATAAAATCAAAGGTTATCGAAATATTTAAGAGATTACATTTGTAAAATTTTCACTTTAAGCCAAAATTGATCCACACCATGAGATGGTTGTTGTTCATAGAAGATTGAAGTTGAGTTTTGGTTTTTTAACATTTTTTATCGTTCGATTTCTTTTTTCGATGATTCTAAAAAATCATAGACAACAGAACAGTAATCGATATCAATCAATTTCGTGATATTGATGTGACGTTTTGATTGACATGACTTGAATTGAATTGATAATAAGCAGTGGCAGACTTTAAAATATACAAAAAAAATTACAGTTAACCAAGGTCTGATATCGAACAAAAAAACAAGAAATTTAAATATTATAGGTATAATCTCTTAAATATATCTGAAACCATTGATCATATTAAAGAAATTTTAATGTACTTTAATATTGTACTGAACTGAACTTGAGATAAACTTCATAGCTTGTGAGATATTAAAAAATAAAAAAAAATAAAAAAAATAATCAGTTTTCTGTCATTTTCCCACTTGTTCCATCAAAACACGACACGGGGAATTTTATACCAGTTATTACAGGGAGGATAATGTAAAATTTCTGACACGTTTAATATTTTTTTTTATATTTGGATCAATCCCTGATTTCACTGTACTAACTGAACCTTTGCTTTGGACAAGTAATAAGGATTATGAAATTTGGACCTAAAATATATATTTTTAATCAATTTAGAAAATATTTGTGTATGAATTGTAAACTCATGTTGAATAGTTATAAAGTTGACTCCTCAAGATCAAGCAGAGAAGCAAAATAATAGGATTGTGAAATTATTCGACTCCTAAGCAAAACGGAACGAACCTGTTTTGGCTTATCTACTTCGGTTGAGTGCTGCTTTTCCTTCATACATTTAGATAATATTCTCAGTTATGTGTCTAAATTTTAACTTTTGTTTGTTCTCTATATTTATTTTAAACTTTATTTTTAAAATATTCTTTTGTGTATCTTCGATTTGTTAATATACAGAGAATCAAAAATATTATTACTTCACACTGGTGAATAACACAGTTTATAACCAATTATTTAGAAAAATAGTTGAAAAATCAATATTTTTCGAAATAATTTTTTTTTCTATAAATAAAAAGTGTGTTTAGGCAATCGGGTTTATTAAAATACATCCAATATCATGGAAAACAAGAAATAAAAGTTTTACGACAGTTAACTGTAGTCATTTTTGAAAAAAAACAGGAGTGCTTTTACTTGACAGGATAAAAGATATCATTTTTATACAAAACAAGAGCTGAATCACAAATTTTTCCCTAATAAACTTCAATTTAATTAATACGAAATTAAGCTTATTAAATAAAAAAAAATAGTTGGATGAAGATTAAAAATGATGATTTTTATCCTGTCAAGTAAAAGCACCCCAATTTTTTTCAAAAATGACTACAGTTAACTGTCGTCAAACTTTTATTTCTTGTTTTCCATGATATTGGATGTATTTTAATAAACCCGATTGCCTAAACACACTTTTTATTTATAAAAAAAAATACTGATTTTTCAAATATTTTTCGAATAAATTGGTTATAATCTGTTTTATTCGCTAGTATGAAGTACAAATATTTTTGATTCTCTGTCTTTTTTAATATAAAATATAGTGTTGTTTCAAAAGAAATGGGCTTAGACATCATGTAAAAAAATATAGAGAATTTAGCGCTTTCCTGATAAATATAAAAAACGTGTTATGGTATTTGTTAGGATTATGGGAATACTGCTTCCAGGCTATATAGTTTTATGAGGTTGGATGTTCGCCAAGGCAGGCTTATAGAAATATTAATATGGCATTTGTGAAGTTCCGGAAGAAGACACCTCATGATGGTTTAAGGTTATGGTCACTTATTATTAAATGGAAATTAAACCAGGGTTTGAAATTGATAATTATTTTTTCAGCAAAATCACCATGTAATAATTACATTTGATTTTTAAATTAAAAATCGTACTTGATTTATAAAATTAAAATTTAACTGGATCTTTGATGTTTATTGATTCGATTAAAAATAAGGTTCACTAATACGGTTTAACATGTCAAATACGGTTTTTCATTAATAATAATAACAAAAATGTTGATCAAAAAATAAAAATCACTTTTTACACACAAATTAAATTAAATATTAATAGGCCGTTTACATTTTTTATGTACAATTTTTTTAGGATTATATTTCTCAAATCGCTTTCATTTTTCACGCGGTATCTGCACGATAGATATGTATATATTTCTTTTTTTTATGAGCCAAAATTTCTTACGAATTATGGAAATAAACATATTCAATTGTTATTAGTTGACAATAGTTAATTAATAGTTGAAAACACCTACTACTTCAGACTCAAAATAGGTCAAAGAGATTGCAAAACATTTATATTTCTCATTTTAAAAATTATTATTCATGAATAGTTATTATTAATAATTGTAAAAATGTTGTTAAAAAATACTGATCAGGATATGATCTTTATCACTTATGATCAAAAAAACAAAAAGTTTCTTAATAAAAAAAAATTTTGATCAGATTTTTTTTTGATTTTTTCAATTATGAATTTCAAACCCTGCCCCTACATAACACTGGATTGATATTGACTAAATACTTCTAAACAAAAAAAAAAAAAAGAATTTTTATCCACCACTACATTCCCCATCAGATCTTTTTAAGAATTTATAAACATTTTTTTAGAAAAAAGAAAAAGAAGAAATAATATTCTTGAAATCTTAGAACTAAAAAAAAATATTGGCCCTCCAGAAAAAGATGTAGAAATATAAAGTGAATAATTTTTATGAAATGTTAAAAAAAAAAACAAATAAAAAATCTGTATCACTACATCACACGAAAGGTTTTGGATTCAACACTTGGTTAGAAGTACTGTTTCGAGGTCAACGGTTGTGCAGGTGATCAGGCCAGGATCGCGCTCAGCTGCTAATTTTGTCCTCTTAATTAATTATTTAATTAAGAATACCCACTCAATTAATAGAGGCTGGGTGCGCCCCAGGAGGGTGTCCCAATCCCAGGATCGATCATGGCTGATGAAAAATTACTTGACATCAGCCAGATTAGATTCCGTGACTTTGAGCTTATCAGCACATTGCCTAACTCACTGATCTACTCCGCTTCTCAAATCTCATTAACTTTATGATTTTTTTAAAATAAAAGCAGATTGAAATCTCTGTGAAATAAATCAATGAAACTATACGAATGTTAAATATAAAATGATTACCTGCTCCCCTGACAGTGAGCTCTATGCGACCACAGTCCAAGAAAACTCTATCCCTCGGCTTAACGATGAAAGGCAAGTTTCTGTGATCTATGTAAAGTTTTTCAGCGGTTCCACGAAGATCCCATCCAGGGTGCGTTGTCAGGGTAATAAGACCTCCTCTCTTTAAGAATATCTTTTCTGCCTAAGGAACAGAAAAATAATTGTACTAGTCAATGCATGATGAATGATTCAAGCTGGTTGCCGCATTTTTCTACCAGCTTTAAATAGTTATAATTCAGTTTTTACTATTAATCCCTATACTGGTACTTAAAAACAGTAATGCGGCTGAGTGAGAGGCGCTGGGATCTCCTAGAGGCCTGATTTTCCTTCCACCATTGGTGGGAAAGGCTTGGCTCGGAGTTCTGAGTGAACTAATTTTATAAATACTATATAAAAGTATGCCTCTATTAAAATTGTATTTTGATTAGTTTATTTTATTTTTGTTTGTATACATTTACTTTTCGTATTATTATTGTTTAATTTATTTTTATTTATTGTAGATACAGTATTAATAAGCTACTCTATCACTATTAATAATGTCCTTAAATGTGAAAAAATTAATATTACTCAAAAAAAAAAAAAAAAAAAAAAAAAAAAAAAAAAAAAAAAAAAAAAAAAAAATAAAAGGAATATTAATCCCTCTGATGTTCTATTAATACTGGGTATTAGTAATTGAAGCGACTTGAACTTTATTTCGTTCCAAAAAGGGCTTTATTCAAGTTCCAATGTTTTTAACTAATATTAAAATAATTGCAGAATTTCGGGGATATGAAATGAATGAATGAGTGATTGAAACAATAATTTTATTTTGTGAATAACGTCCTCTTAGAATAATAACAGAGTTCAAAAAAATTGAGGCCATTAGTGTATCTTGACAAAATACAAAGAGATACTTGTCATTTAACTGTTAATTGCAACTGCAATTGCGATAATGCAGTTAATTGAATGATACAGTTTACAAAGTAACACAATTGAATTTTATACGGTTTATATATATAAACAAAATTACAAAAAATAAAAGAAATCAAACCAAATGGCACTTGTCGATTAATCGTTGATGAACTATTGTAATTATATAGTCCAATAAACATTACATCGATGCAGAAGTTTGAAAATGAAGTAAGTAGTGAAATAAGAGTTGTTTGAAGGAATTTACGGATGAAGATTGCCGTATATGGTATGGTGGGAATATATGGTATATGGTATATATGGTATATGGTATGGTGATAGATAAAGAATTTCAGAAGGTGGTAGCACTAGTGTTGCCCAAATGCGAGACCGAGACGAGTCTTGATCTTGCAAACTCAGTCTTGGTCATGGTCTTGGTCTTGCGCAAGAGTCTCGCAACAATCTTGCAGTTACTTATTAGCTTATTACTATAGAGATATTACTGTAATTTTTTAGATAGAAGAAACCTAACTAAGCCCGAATGAAAAATTAGAGGAGTTATATGCAAAAGTATATTGGTTATGCCAAGTATTAACATATAATAACTAAAATTGTCGAGTATTCGTAACTATTTTGCCTTAATTTTTATTTTTAAAATCTTTTTTTTTTACCAGTCCTGGTCTTGGTCTTGCAACAGTTAGGCGGTCTTGGTCTTGGTAGCACGAATGACAAAGGATTTGTTGAAGGTAGTAGTTTTATGGAGGGGAATATATAAGTCAATAGGTTGAGATCTGGTATCAAGAGAGTGGACAGAGGAACGTTAAGTAAGGAGTTATAGGATGTAGTGAGAATTGTAGGTTATAAGGAAAAGGAAAACATGTGAAAAGGAACGTGTGCTACAAATATTTGTTATTACATTTATTTTTAAAAGATATTTGTTTTGATATCGAAATGGAAATTGAAATTAAAGTTTTTCGTGTTACCAGAAAATATTTCAATGACGATTGGGTTTAATATGAGAAGGAACGGCTTCAATTCAAAATTTGATGACCTTTTGACCGCAAATTTAATTTTCCTAACAAATGATGCAAGAGGGCCCCTTGATAAGAGAAAAGGAACGTTAAAATTTTCTGACCGACTAGTCATTTCAATTGAACTGTCGATATGAATCAGGAGACCGCGTGGTTCGTTCAATAGGTGTTCCAGCAATTAAACCTGGAAATTAAATGGAGAACTATAAAACCGTGAAATGAAATCCTTCTTGCGGAAGCGCTAATTAGAGGAAAATATTCGAGTTGGGCCGCCAGCCCTCAACTCTCCACGTCTGAAAAACATCAATTTTTATATACACTTTTTAAAAAAAGATTTATTACCCAACGGAGAAAATTCAAATTAAATTCTATATTTAAAAATCTCCGAGTTACAGACACTTTACTAATAATTTATTGTGAAAAAAATATGTAATGACAACAAGAAAATAAATAATTATTAATAAATACATAGTTAAAATAAATAAATAGAAATTTTATATCAAGTAAAGACAGTTGTTAATATTTGATAAAATTTATAAATTCAGCTTAATATTAATTTTTTATTTATTTTTTTAAAATGTCTCTATATTAAAGCGTATCATGTTGTTCCAATGGAAAATAAAATAGCTATATGAACTGTTTCAGTAATTAAAATTGTATTATTGTAAAATAGGAAATATATAAAAAGTTGAGACGAAAGGACACCATGATGTGGTTGTAACGGGATGATTTCAAAAGTAATATATACTTAATTAAAGCATTATTTATAACTATTGTAATTATACTCAACGAATGAATGACTCAATAGTAGGCAAAAAACAGAAATAAAAAAAAAAAACGTATTATTTAATTTTGAAATCAAACCGTTTCACTTATTTTATAAGGTTTAGCATATAGCCCGTGGGTACAGACCCTTTTTATCAAATTATTAAAATCCATATGAAACTTCGTAAATAGCTTCATCTCATCGTAACCTACAACTATTTTATTTACACAAATTTTGGAATTGGGGAGTTTTCAATTTGGACATTGCCAAACTTTGTTTATTTAATTATATACTAAAAACTCGTAAATATCCATGCTTTTCACTTCAATCGTCAGATGATTTGAGCACAACACCGAGAAAAAGGTGGAATTATAAAATATTGAACCGTTTTGGCGTGACCTACACACCCAAAATGTCAAAATAACGAGGTTATATAGGACAAACGGCCGCATATTTTGTAGGGTACCTTTTTTATCGATTTTGTGATCAAATTACCTTACGACCCAAGTGGGAATCAAATAAGTATTTAAGAGTTTTAGTACCTAATTAAATAAACAAACTTTGCTGATCTCAAGATTGAAAACACCCCAATTCCAAGAGTTTTCTTAAATAAAATAGTTGTAGGCTACGATGAGGTATACACGAAGTTTGAAGCGGATATTAATAATTTGAAAAACGAGTCTGTACTACGACTAAGATGACAAGTTAGCGACTAGTATTCCATTATTATTTACTTGTTTATTTAAGTATAATAATCTGTCACGTGGACAATAATTATAGTGATATATGAACAGATTCACGCCATATATACAGAAAATATAAAATTAACAAAAGCAAAATAATAATCAAAAACTATGTACAATAAAAAATAAAATAACCTGAAGGTAAGTAAATTAAAAACACAGTCATACCTAGTGTTGCCCATAATCGGTATTGGCAAAGTGCAAGACCAACACCAAGGCTCCCTAACTGTTGCAAGACCAAGACCAGGAATGGTAAAAAAAATGGATTTTTTAAATTAAAATTACGACAAAATAGTTATAATACTTGTACGTCTTAGTTACTTTATTTTAATAATTGTATAACCAATATTTGCATTTAACTCCTCTATTTTTTCAGTCGGACTTAGTCAGGTTTCTCCAATCTGAAAAAATACAGTGATATCTCTATAGTAATAAGCTAATAAATAACTGCGAGACTCTTGCGCAAGACCAAGACCATGACCAACACTGAGTTTGCGAGAACAAGACTCGTCTCGGTCTCGTATTTGGGCAACACTATTCATACCTATATAAAATATACACAATCAGGCAGGGAACCCCAAACCAGGCTTCTCCCTCCAACTATAGAAGGAAAAGCAGGACTCCAAGAGATCCCTGCGCTATTCTCTGAACCGCATCACTGGTGCTAAGGCCATAGCGGAATTCCATTAAAAAAAAAAGATAAACAGTTTTTGGACCAAAAACAAAATAATAAAAACGCAGAAGAACACAATAATAATATTATGTATAGAACTAAATAGTTATTCCTTTCTTGATTTCGTTTTATCTGTCGGCATAATAATGGACAATGGGGTGTAAACTTATTTATTTTTTTTTTTATTTCTTTATGACCTTTACAACTGTATTACATAAATACATCAAGTAAATTTGGACATAATTGATATAATGACATGAATACACTTGCTGAGTAACTACCCAATGGTAGCACTCTAATGATATGACTACATTAGGAGATCACGGAGCCATCTTCTTTCAGACGCCTCGGAAGGTTATCAGGAATTGAAGAGGAAGCAAGGTTAGAAACGAGAGGATTGGGATGATTCTGAAGTTTATTATGGAAGGATAGGTATCTGGATTGGGCCAGATTTGAAACATAAGGAACATTAAGATCTTTATGGATAATTTTATTAGTGACAAAGTAAGGAGCATTGAGGATTTTACGAAGGATTTTGGATTGTAAGGATTGGATGCGAGAGGAATTCGATGGTTTAGTGGAGCCCCATAGCTCAACTCCTTAAGTCCAAATAGGTCTTATTATAGTCAAGTATATAAGTCTTTTGTAATTAATGGGAAGTTTAGAGCGTTTGTCTAGTAAGTTCTGAAGTAATCGGAACGTCGAGCGGTTTCTTGTCGTTTCAGTCTAGTATGAGGATTCCAAGTTAGTCGTTTGTCCAGGTGGAGTCCTAGGTATCGGATTTGCTCAACAGGGATAAGTGGAGTATTGTTAAAGGAAACTGTAGGACAGGAAGTCGTTGGTTTACGACGAAGGGTAAAGGTAATTTGGTGGGATTTATTGGAGTTTATTTTAATTCTCCAGTTTTGACACCATTCTTCTAGATTTATGATGTGTGATTGAAGCATTTGGGATGCAATTGCTGGGTCATTGTTTACTGATAGGATACATGTGTCATCGGCATATGTGGTGATGACAGTGTTGGGGACAGGTAGGGATGTCAGCTGTATAAACTGTATAGAGGATAGGACCTAGGATACTACCTTGAGGAACACCAGCAGACTGGGAAAAAAGGGATGAATAGGCGTAGTATCTATCAGTAAGGTAGGAACGGATAATGAGGAAGTATGTAGGTGGTAGGAATTTTCGGAGTTTGTACAGCAGTCCCGGGAAACTTATTTTTAAATTTCAAAATGTGTTCAGGTATATATAATTTTAATTTTACAATGTACTTTATAATTTAAGATGGCCTATTAATCCCTTAATTTCAATTCTATTAACTAATATTCATATATTATACCACACTGACCTTGTACAGCTTTCCAGTGAGGACTTGTGGGCCTTTTATATCGCCTATGATGGCGACAGGGATGACCCTCTTGTGCTTGGAGGCTATGTCAGTTAGAGAATTCTTCATCTTCCGAAGAAGAAGCAGCTGATCCTTGCTATCCCCGTCCTTCATGTCGAACCGCGCGGCCCTCATACCCGCCTCCAGCATCTGTTCCAGAACAGCTTCTTCGCAACACTTTTCTCCTAGATAGGTAAAAAATATTTTGATACCATCATTGATTAAAACAAAATTAGTATTGGATAGAATAATGTGATATGTTAATACTAAAGAATAGATTTTCTGGAAAACGATTTTTCAAAATCAAACTAAAGAATAATTAAAAAATAAAATATATATGTTTTTCCATGATGATTTTTTTTACGGAGCTATTTTTTTTTTCTGTGACATACGATCTAAGGTATTTGAGGGCCTCACAGACCATTTTTTGTTATTTTGTAATGAGCTTTGTGAGGAAATTGAGGCTAGAGTAGTCCCCGTAGTCATTTATGGAACGAGACATGGATACTGACGCAGGATATGGAAAGCCAACTAAGACTTGCGGAAAGGAGAAGTTCTCAAAAACATATACGAACCAGACTGTGCTGGAGGAGAAAGGAAAATCAGAAAAAAAATGACGGAGAACATTATATGAGCACCCTGATATTGACTTTGGAACAGCAGGTAAAATTTAGTTTGTAGTGATTCCGTGGTGGATACACTGTGTTGGTACAGTCTGCAGAAATGTGCTTTATGTAAGCATGTACTGTGCTACTACCTTGCGGCACACTACTGTTGAGGCAAAAGCGAAAGTTTCATGAAAACAAGAATTTTGAAAAATTAAATGGAAAAAATATAACCTAATTGCACAACGAGTGTAGTGAATTAGTGTTCTTAAACAGCGGTAAGGTAGTAGCGGAGTACATGCCGACACAAAGCACATTTTTTCAGACTTAACCAACAAAGTTCCTGTCCTACAGTATCCTTCAGCAAGAACTTGCTTATCCCTGTTGAACAAATCCGATACCTATGACTCCACCTTGACAAACTACTCACTTGGAACCCCCATACCAGACTGAAACGACTAGAAAACGCCCGACGTTTTCGACTACTGCAGCACTTACTAGACAAACGCTCTAAACTTCCAACTACTTACAAAAGATTCATGTATATATATTACTATAATAAGGCCTATTTTGACTTACGTGGTCGAGCTTTGGGAAATCATCAAATTCCTTTCGTATCCAATATCTACAATCCAAAAACCTTCGTAAAATCCTCCCTATTTTGGCACAAATAAAATCATCCATAACGACCTTTATGTACCATATGTTTCCGATTTAGCTCGATCCAGATACCTATCCTTCCATAATAAACTTCTAAACCACCCGAATCCTCTTGTTTCCAACCTTGCTTCCTCTTTCATTCCTGATAATCCTTCGAGGCCTCTGAAAAGAAGATGGCCTCGGAACTTTCTAACATAGAAATATAATTGGATGGGTAGTGTCTCTTCCTGTTGTACATTACTTGTTTCATATGTATTTGCTGTATTTATCATTTAATACAGTTGTAAATTTCAATAATAAAAAAAAAAAAAAGAAACCAACAAAATGTATCCACCACGGTATCACAACAAACTAAGTTTTACCCGCTATCCCAAAGTTACCCGCCCAGTCCTAAAGTTACCCCACCTTAAGGTAATTAAAAGGAGAATGAAGAGGTGTTTCGGGGAATATGGAAGACAATCACCTACCAAAAAAATTAATATATGCAAAGCCAGGAGGTAGACGAAGACTTGGATGTGCTACGATGTGGTGGTTGTACGACGTTGAGCCTACTCCAGTTAGAAGAGCAAAGCTGTTACTGCCGATGGATAAGTCTGTAGGATAGTAGCGCCAATAATAATAATAAAGAATTAATTAATTAAAATTAATTTATAGGCTCCAGGTAATACAAGTGTGCAGGGATAACCAGATGGGCTAGGGGTAGCATGGCGCATCTTGCGACGAGCTAAATTTTTGAGTAGAGCACATTTTTAGGGAGTTATTAACTTTCTAGAGATATTTACGGAATTATGAATGTTTTGTAGGAGCCATACTTTTGTGGAGGGTCTTGGATTCGAGGGACTCCAAACCTAAGGATAAGAGAAAAATACTAAAATATCTATATTATTACTTTAATTTGCACTGTTTTTAATAAAAGGAGAGAAAAAAGTTTCTTTGGAAGAAAGACATTAATAACCTTAGGGGTTGGGCACCTATGCTAGTGTGAACATTCTTCCAGTGATTCCCAACGTAATAATGTTTCTTGGGAAACCCATCCAAACATCGCCTCAGTTCCACTTGTATCCACTAGTTATATAACAATGTTTATTGATAAGTGAGTATCAAAAAATAAATATAATGATTTACCTATGGTGCAGACAGTGGACATGAGGGTGCTCGGAGCTCTTGGAGAATTAATATCCAGGGAGGCATTGTGTTCAAGAAGGAATGTCTTGTAGGCAGCTTTGTCTTGATTTTTTAGGGGTTTCAACGGGTCTGGAAAACCCTAAAACGAAAATAATATGGATTTATACAAAGTTAACTTTAATACCTAACAAATCAATATTTATTTAATAGGTAAATAAATATACTAGATAGTGGATCTATAGAAGGATTTGAGAAACTTTCGACATTTTGTGGATTTCTAAATTCGCTATCGAATTAATCTTTCTTTATGATATGTATTCAAAATAATATTTCGGAACTCGGCTGTTAGAATAGAATAGAATAGAAGAATCAACTTCATTCTGGGACAAATTCCCTTAAGAATAACAATTTTGTATATAAACATTAACATTCCATCTGGATAAAATACATATTACAATAAAAAAAAAAACTAAAAACTAAGTGATAGCACAAGTATTTACCTTATTACATTTACATTACAGAACGTGACTAGACATCTTTTCCATGCTCAAAAAAGAATATATTTATATACATAAATGTAGAGAAAAATGCAATTTTGTTACATGATAAATGGCTACCCAGTCTGATTGAATTGTAAGGAGGAATTGGAATAGGAGGGTTTTAAATATGGATCGGGATGGTGCATGGCGGATTTTAAGTGGGATGGAATTCCAAAAGAGCGGACAATAAAGGAGTGTTGAAAGGAGGCAGATTTGTGGAAAGGGTATAAAGAAGGACGAGATCTTGTGGAGATGGAGTGGATAGATGACTTGAATAGAAGGAGATTGAATGCGTAGGACGATGATTATGGATTATTTGGTAGAGGAATGTACCTCGGAAATATTGTTTCTGAAGGAGGGGAAGAGCCACCCTAAATCGGCGTAGTAATGAGATACACGAGAACGTCTCGGGGTTCCATTGACAAATCTTACTAAGCCATTCATAATTCTTTTCAATCTGTCTCCCAGTTCCGATGAGAGGCCACCGTACACTACGCAGCCGTAGTCAAGGTGGGAAAAGATGAGGGCGGATACTAGGAGTCTACGTGAGGACAGGGGTAGTAGATGGCGGAAGCGAAGGAAGAGTTTCAGGGTGGAAATTGAACGTCGGGATATTTGGGAAATACGGTGATTCCAGGAGAGGGTTTAATCTATGAAAATACCTAGGTTTTTAACTGAAGAGTTGAAGGTGATGGGTTATAGGCGCTCCGTCGCATCCATGTCACCAGGTAGCATATTTTATCATATTTGTGAGTTACACCTATTATACGAATTACCTATCAAACCTACTCATATCTGTATATATATACTTTTGCATATTCACCAATAAACGATAAATTTCTAATATCTTCATTGCTTTTTTTATTGTTTTTAACAACTGGAACTGAACTTAGAAAACTTATTTTTACTTAACAACTTGCCGTGTGCTGAAGATCTAAACAAAGATTAAAGAATGAATCAGAAAGTGAGATACGGATAGAAATACTAAATTTTTTAAGAATATTATATATTATTTAAATTTTTTTTTATGATTAGTGGCGCTCCCTTGGCTGTAGCGTCCGGAATGACTCTCTCGGTCGTCTCATCAACGCAGCTGCCCTGTTTGGTAAGATCTTAAGACATAATCGTTTTAACATAAGTGGTTTCGCATGCTTAAAGCAGGGAAGTCACAAGTCTTACAAATATTTATTTATAAGTTTTTGGACAATTAGTTATTATTTTTTAAAAATACTTTAAGAATTGAAAGCTAATAGATAGAAGGAAACATTTTTTACAGATAAGATACATCGATGAAACGAACAATCATTAAATAGTTTCAGATGGTTCTATTGTTCGAAGTTAAAATTTATTTAGCTTAATGATGTAGCTTGTAGAGGTTTCTAACTAGAGATCCTGTAACTTATTTAGCTTAAGTTGTTAACTTTGGATATAACTATCAGCAGCTTTTGATTAGGGTTATGATTAATATTGATAATCACCAACGCCGATATTGCATTAAAATACTACTAAATTTAAATAAAACATAAATAAACTTCTAAAAAACAAGTGAAAAGGATGTGTGATGGATAATATTTTTTTATGAAATAACAGCAACCGTTATTTCTAACCTTTGTTCACAACCAACAGCATCGCACAGTTTTAGTTTATAACTGAAAGCCACTCGGAATTAACTGTTTTGCTCATTTGGTATGCATTGTGGTAGGAACTGTTACATGGTTACTGAATGGATCAGATAAGTTTTAGCTTAAAATCACAGAGATGGGATTCAATGATAAGTGACTTGTAGTGGGGAAGTAATCCGCGATGTTAATAAGAAATCTAATTAAAACTTATGTAATTGAAGGTCTATAGAAAACCATTACAGTTAAATATTTTTGTTTATTAATTAAAAATATTCATAAATTTATGTTTTAAAATCTAAAAAATTCTATTTTTTTTTTTCAATTTCAAGAAGTTCATTCACACCTGTCAATGAGTCAATAGACAACCATGAAAGAGCGTTATCTTCTACATAATTATGTATGAGTATGTTACAGTGGTCTTGTGATTTATCATGTAATTTTTTATGGTGAGTCAATATTAATTCGTTGACAATTTGTTTATTATGGTCAATATGTAAAGTTGTCAACACACCAAGTTCTGAATATGTTAGTCTGAAAGATTTGAAGTTTGTTAATCTGATTCATTTTTTTTTTAGCTACCCCATAATTGTGGTGAATAGGTGTATATATACTTGCGGTGTATGTAGTTATCTTTAAGTGTAAGAGTTCAATTTTATGTTTAAGATTTAGTTTTAATGTTTCGAAAAAAGTTTCCTGCTTTTCCCTCCATATGTGGAAAATAAACCTGGTTTTGTAGTTCACTCGCCGGATTGTAAATAGGGTATGTTGGTAACTCAGTGTTTTTTTTGTTTTGCTTTATTTATCATTATTTTATTTTTATTTATTGTATAAACTTTTTGATTATTATTTAGTTGTGATTTTATTTAGTTATATTTTCTATAAATATGGTGGGAATCTACTATATTTTCACTATAACCATCGCCCTGGACAAAATGTTGTTTTATTCAACAAAAAGAAAAAAGTCTTAGCGATTTTCTTGATTTTAGGACACCATAGTTATCTGTGGAATATATATATTTTACGTTTTATAAATTAAAAAATAATTATTTTATTTATAAATTAAGAATAATTTAATTCTTCATAAATTTAATATACTGATATGTCAACTATATTTTGGTCAGTCATAGATTATATAGTTGGTTATGACGAGCTAAAACCCTTGAAACAGGCTTCTATCGATCGACAACATTCCTGCATAGCAACAAAATAAAATTTGAGAGAGTCATAATTTAATTATTTATCAAACAATATATCATTACTAGTAGAAATAATGACAAAAATGCTTTATCAAGTACTAGTAATTTAAATTATTGTTATAAGTATTCTTTTATTTAAATGTTTGTACTTAAGATAATTTAATCAGAGCAACAAGCCACATCTAACATTGGATACCACCAGGGATTAAAAAAATAAAATAAATAAAACAACATTTTCTATTGTTAATTTCTCTGATGAATTTTTTATATATTTCAAGTAGAATTTTGTTTTTGAGTATCTACCTGTAATTATCACGGAAAAGAAACGGTATAACCCACATTTGGATCCTTTCATGATATTAGCCAACGTTCCTTGTTCTGTGTGCACTGGTCCCACAATGAGAACTCGAAGAAAAGAAAATAGAGAGGAGAAAAAAAACGAGAGAACTGACCGGCTTATGAATTCATGAAACCGCCCTTAGGGCCGAGTAGCAAGTAATCAAATTAGAGAGTTCGGACCAGTTGATAATTGAGGTAACTTAATTAAGAAAAAAAGTTGTATGAAACCGGATATTTTATTTATATTCAGTCAGCGATACCTAAATATCTCTACGTCAAAAGAAGCAAAAAAAAAAAAAAATCATCAAAAAGTTGCATAAATAAATCCCTGCCTCAACAAAAATATAGCTAATTAATTGCAAACTTGGTAGCAATTGGAGAGGAATTAATTTAGTAAGATATCGATGAGTTAATTTCACTTCTCTTGACTAATTGGCTATTTTTTCTTCAATTAGTGCCAGTATCTTCATGACTAATGAAATCCTTCTAGAGCGAATCATTTCGCTTATCCAAAATAAATATGTCAGGATTTGGTTATATCGTTAAAAAAAAACCTAGAAAAAACTTCTTCTTTTCGTGCTATTTACAAACTTCCACAACAACTCTTTATAACGTCTATCATAAATTATTTTGTATGTGTGTACACACACATAGACATCTATCTAAATACAGCTATAGGCTGAATACTCATGCAACTACAGGGTGGACAATATCCTTCACCTGAAATTTATCGAGAAATGAGCATACAATTTTTTAAAAGTTAAATATATACAACTTACAACATTATACAACAAAACCAAATATAAAAAAAAAATTAAGGATGGTGTTTATTATTACAAAAATATCCTCTCATAAATAAGCGGAAAGTCTAAACTAGAAAAAAGGGGGAGGAAAGAAAAGAAATCTACATCTGTAACTTGAATAGATATGTATAGGGTTCCTCAAAAGTAACACGATATTTAAATTAAATATAAAATACAATTCTTTCTTATTTTTTAAAAATATTTTTCGTTGTCAATTTAATAGCTGATAGTTCAGGTTTATTAAAAATGGAGCATTATACGAGTGAACAATGTATTTTCGTTGTTGGACAATATTTTAAAAATAATAAAAATCTTGCGACCACTTGTCTTGCTTCGATATTGACACTTGAACGGCTTGTTTTTTGACGACGAATGTCTTTGACATCACCAATTGATGCAGTCTGCTCGAGTTTCTCAACCACTCTTTTCACAGAAGTTAATCACTATTCGGAACATATTTTCAAACTGTGGCTGCAAGACTTTCATTATTTTTAAAGTATTGTCCAACAGTAAAAACATATTGTTCGCTCGTATAACGGTCCGTTTCCACTAATCCTAAACTATCAGCTGATAAATTGACAAAGAAAAATCTGGTGAGCGCAATACAGAACTTTCACTAACCGCTCAACTTTGAATAGAAATTA